GAAAACTGTAACATCAAGTGATTTGGGTGAAATATTACTGCTGGGCAGCTTTAGTGGCAGAGAAACCTGTGATGTCATTTGATTATGATGTCATGGTAACTGATGATGTCACAATGTTTCATGTCATTGACACCAAATCTCCTGTAGCTACCCACAGTCATCTACTATAATCATATTCTTCCCCCCGAATTGGTAATCATCGTCATACAGTTTCAGCTTCTCTGTAAAACTGCTGTTTTCAATCAAATCTCTACAGAACAAAAATGTGAAAAAGAAAGTAGGGAGTTTCACAATAAATTTTCATTGGTTTTGATTACACTATTGTGAATGATGTATTACTATTGATAGAGACAGTAAATGGGGCTGATTTCTTTTACACTGACCATGTTTCTGGTAAGCGGAATAGAAACCCCCTGCTTTTCTGTTTTCCAAAAAGTCTGGCGTTATCGAGCAATGGTTGTCAATTCAATTCAATTCAATTGTGTCACTGTGAATATCAAACATTGATACAGCTGCACATGCAGATGGTCTGTGGGAATAGGTAGCTACTGCTGGGTGAGAATAAACAAAACTTACTGTATTCATATTTATTGTGATATTTCAATACGATAAAATGTAGTGAGTTTAAATACATTCCATTCCGTAAAGTGTCATGTGCAATATTTTATCACTTTCTCCTGAGACAGATTAATTCCTGATGACACATTTACTTTGCCAAACAAAGAAACCGTTAACACTGCTTGTGGGACAAAAAAGCTTAAGAGGAACTTCCTTTAACTTTATTACTCTGACAAAATAATCCCTGATGACATATTTACTGTGACAAAACTTGAGTTAAAAAATATAATATTGCAGCAATATCTCCACAGCTGCGGACCTGACAGGCTCAACACACTGTTTGTGGTTAAATGCTGCTGACGTTGTTGATGTCTTCTCAATCATTAAAAAGCATGATACGATTTTTTACCAAAACTTTTTGGATCAGGGTAACAGCATTCAAGGTCCTAGTGAAGCTTCACATTTGACAATATGATGTCGACTGCAAGTCCTTATTCTGAGTTGCACTATAGATATCCATGTTTTAATTATCTTCTGTGGTAGCAAGTTTTGGATGAATTATAAGATCAATTTCTAAATATATATTAAATCATGCATACTGTAGATTAAGCATGTCTGTTTTATATTTACAAAACTACACTCATCAATATCCCGAAATTATAATCAGTGTTTCCGTTCTCCGGTATATACCTGAAAATCACCGGTAAAATTTGTTGGGGACCGGTAGATTGAAAGCCAGCCGGACACTGTGTCCGGTAAATAATCATGTATTAAAATAAAAAATCATGGGTAAGCAAAATGACAGTCTTGACTGTGCTTTCATGGTCGCAAAAATTCTTATGTTTCGGAAATAATAGGCTAAAAATAACTTTAAAATGAGTACTTACAGTATGGCAATAGGATACGACCAGCAAATTTCATTCAAGACCGGTAAAATTTTAGGTCGCCTGACATAGTGTCCGATAAATAATTAAGTCAGCGGAAACACTGTATAATATAAGAATAATTATAGCAACAACTATACTAATTGAATACATGACATGTTTGATGGAAAACAACTTCATGTTATGAACATAAAGAATTTTCTGGATTTCATCTTCTTTTTATTCTTTGATACAATGTTTGGGGGGGCTGTTCCGGCCCCATCATCAGGTAAAACTAATGAACAGTAACAGTAGTTTAACCTGATAATGGGTCTGGAACAGCCCCCGAAACATTGTATCAAAGAATAAAACGAAGATGAAATCCAGAAAATGTCTTAGGTTCCTCAAATAACATCTTTTAAAATGCCAATCAAGCAACTTCATTTTATTCTTAAATGACCTTTCAGTGGTAATTCTTGCTCCTTCATTCACCTGATGTATTCATGCTCATCCAACTTGTCAATGACTTTCAAGAACTAAACCATAATAATATTTTACCTATTCAAGAATCTGATACACATCATACATCACAGATCATGACATGATCCAACCAAGGTAATAAATCATACAATTTGTCAGCGTGTCCATTAGGTTCCAAGAAGTTACTGGCGCCACTGATTCTGTAGTTCTAAACCATGACCATCTTCCCTGCCCAAACAATACAGTATATACAGTGATCAACACCAGGAGATAAGTGTGTATATGATATACGACTTTTATCACACATGGATGTCACACATATGAACACTCTTACAAATTATTTTCTCTGATGTCTGAAATCGGATACCCCTGGACAAATGTCGGACCTTGATCTCTTTAACGCGACTGACATAATTAACATAATAATACATCGTCGTTAATGAGTCTAACTCTTCTTACGATCGTGAACTGGTAACAAATTCATTAGACTTCGAAATAAGATGATCAGTACTCTTTGTTAAAGTACTTGTTATGGAGGGAATACAGGTGTATATTTGAAAATAAACTCTGAAAATAATTTTATCAGCAGACAGGAAATACATGGAATATTGATGAACAGGTACTGTGTTCACCTACACTGGTGTTAACCCCCTCGTTTAGCTGGTGTGAAAAGGTCTGAGCGCTGACTTGATCCTTTTGAACACCCAGACATTTAAAATTACCGAAGCTTGTCTGATCAGACATGATCCCGCGATGACCGCCAGCGATTGAGAAGACAGCCTGAGGCGATCGGTGACCGATTATTATTTTTGTGTTTTCGCATCCATTATATTGATAATGTGTCGGTGATCATGCCATGACGATATTCATCACAGATTTAATGTACAAGTTGTGATACGAGGTCTTATCACCTCTTTTGTGTGTGATACGAGTTTTTGTACGCCAGATACACAGGTTCACAGATATAATGAGCTATGCTTGAATGACTTCATGGTGTTGGGTTGCTAAAACTCTTTGTGTGTTTATTTTATTCACAGCTGATAAGCATTTCAAGAGAAGCAATGAACTGTCTTTGTAGGTTTTGTCAAAGATAAATCTGTGACATAAAGGAAGGTGCAACAAAAACCAGGCACTCATAAAGAGAATGTATTTTCGCCTAGTTTGGGCCAAGTTCCAATTTCCTGTGTTTAATGCCTTCACTGCTCTTGAGTACAACTATCAGAAAAAGTGGAATCGGTATGCTATATCTTATCCCTTCAAGACTGACTGACTGAGTTTGGTTTACGCCACTTTTAGCAATATTCCAGCAACATCACGGCAGGGGACACCAGAAATGGGCTTCACACATTGTACCCATCGCTTCAAGGCAACAGAGAGCAGATTGCTCAAGTTGAGTCAATGTTAATGTCGACTTTGAGAGAGACACACACCCCACACCCCTCACCCCACACCACACACCCCCCTCACCACACACACCCCTCACCCCACACCCCACACCCAAACCAAAAGGCGTTTAAATGGGTATTGTTCATCACATCCGTCTTCCTGTAAGTAATGGTCAAACATAAATATGAAATACTTGAAAAATATAGAACTGCATTATTTTTTCATGCCCTTCCCCCTTAATCTGAAACACACGTACACACCCTCCCGTACAGACACCTAAAATGTGGTGTACAATAGTTTTGTAAAATAACCATCAAAGTTAATAATCACCAAAGAAAAACTTTGTTCTTGATGTACATTCAGGGAGGTAATATTTAAAACTATAATAACATGATTGAATAGAGATGGAGAAAATGTTGTTTGAAGGAGAAGCAGGCATTGGTGGAAACCAAACATTTTGTTTACATGAAGACTTGTTCACAAACAAATCAGCTGAGATATTCATGAGTCTTTGCTGACCTACACACAAACTGGATGACCTGCTCATCAACTGGCTGATGACAATAATCCAGTATTTTCTCATCAGCTGACCTGTACGCATGATAAAAGTATCAGTTGGCTTTCTCATTTCGCCTAATGATAGAATAGTATTTGAACTTGACCAATCAGGCGTAAGATGTGAGTGATGATGAAAGAATCAAAGGAGTAGAAGACATGCAATCAACCTAGTCACGATATCTGACCACCAATCACTTTATTCACTATACATGATGTCATAGGATATCCAGACTCTCACAGGGGTCAATACACTACAACTTGTGATCTTTTCGGTGTTTTAGTTTGGCCATATATCATAGGATATCCAGACTCTCACGGGGGTCAATACACTACAACTTGTGATCTTTTCGGTGTTTTAGTTTGGCCATATATCATAGGATATCCAGACTCTCACGGGGGTCAATACACTACAACTTGTGATCTTTTCTGTGTTTTAGTTTGGCCATATATCATAGGATATCCAGACTCTCACAGGGGTCAATACACTACAGCTTGTGGTGTTTTCTGTTTTTTAGTTTTGCCATAAATATAAATAGTCCTGTTTCTCATTACTGCCTGACCCAAAAATTCGAGAAAATGCAAGTTTGACTCTCAAAATGTGCATGAATTTTTCACACTTCTAAGTTTTGATTTTCTTGTGGAGAAAAGGTCTAAATTTCCACAAAAATCAAGGGGTTTTGGACATAAAATAAAATAAATGTAAAAATAAGCCTGACCCATATTTTTTTTAAAAGTGATGAGAAACAATCATATTGTGTATGTAGCTCTACCACAGTTCCATTATGACTGAGTTGTTTATACATGATTATTTTTATAACAAAATTGTACTTAAAGATTTAAATGCCTTTTCCGCTATTCGCAAGTGATTTCAGAAGTATGACTGTCGTTAGCTTGCTTTTTTGTTGTATTGCTAAGTGATTAAAAACAGTGGTCAAATTGTCGTAGTGATCCGATTGTTGCGTGAAGCCGTGCTGTACTCGAACGCGCACTTGTTCGTAAAAAAACATACACCGGCGTCATATGATTGATGATGTTGATGACGTAATTCAAGCATTTTTTCTCAGCACTGCAATATATTAATATAAAGTGAGCCCAAAAATAAACAAACTAGATAACACGAGAGCAGTGTACAAGTGTGAAATCCGAAGGTCCTACCTTCACCTGTACTTTTCGTCACTGTCAACATTTGTCTGGGCGTGCCACGATGTGTTCAGCATTGGTTTGCCGAAATCAGAATGTTCAAAAAGTTTCAATACTCACAGTCACAAATTTGTTGTATCCATATTCAAGCTTTGAATACACAATGTCAGCTTGCCTCAGAAAATACAGATTATGAAGGAAGCCTCAACGTTTGACGCGTGCTAATCAGTTCATTTGCTAACTTTCCCATAAATGAGTACTTGGCGACAGAGAAAAATATGACGCTCTCAAACCTATCTAGGACTTATTTTCCGAAGTTCATGCATTTCAACTTTCCAGTATTTCTTTCATTCTTCAAGTGGAAAATGGGAAGATTAAAGGACAAAACAGTCATCTTTTACATAAAAATGTTCCTTCACCTATCAATATTACATTTAAACTTGCTTGTACTGAGTTGATGGTGTTTTACGCCGTACTCAGCAATATCCCATCTAGATAACGGAGTCCTCAAAAGAATCGACTCCAGTGACTGACGATACGGTGTGTCATCTCTATGGGACATGCTGGTCTTGGGTGTTTATCTCTACGGATAGTCCGTCATACAGACATTGAAGCAAACATATCCAAGAAAGCCCACGCTAGTCTAGAAAATGTGGCAAGTCTAGATTTCAGGGTCTCTAAAAAATGAAGAAAGTCTCAGGGCTCCTTTTCGTTATATTTTATTTTTTTTAACTATGAACTTTGTTTTCTGTAAAATATGTTCATTTCAGGGACTAGTCGTTAGTCTACTCTACGGACAAATCCTCCAGAAGCTGGGTACCAGTGTGGCTCAGACAAACCTTGTAGTATCTTGGATTCGAACCTGTAATTATTTGGTTTTTTACCACTTTGAAGTTACGCAATCACGCCATTGACGACCAAGTCGTGTTATTCCCGGACAGGCCTTCTTGCAGCTACGGAAAGGGGCGAGTGGTGGCGAATGTTATGCATTGTGACGTAAGACTGCCTGTCGTGGTGGTATAGTGTCCCACATATTCTGGTTCCCAGGCAGAAGAAAATAACTTTAAGAAAAAGAGGTTAAACGCAAGTTAAGAATGTTTGTCCAAGTCTATATTGCCTCAGCTCTGAAATTAATAACTGATCTGGGTTCCTTTCTTTATTCTGTACATTATATTGTATTCTACTTCTGAAAACAAAATGAATGAAAAAATAATATTTCTGCGAACAAATGTCAGTCTAAGACTGACAATGCATCATGTTTGAGGTGCGATAATGCAACTAGTATAAGTTATTCCAGTATGAAATGGACCTTGTTATTATTTACCAGAATATATACAACCCGACGTCTCTTCGGCGACATGTGTTGAACAGTTGACGAGTTTGACAGCTATATCCCAGATGTCTTCTACAGCCAATAGTGATTTTATAGTGATAAATGCCCGTCCAGGCCCGGCGCCGTGGGGGGTATCACACACACAAATATCCAGGCTGCAAACTGACTCAAATATAACTCCTATATCGTACACAATGTTCAGTGTAACACACTCACTCACTCAAGCGCCAGGGGTGTAGTCTGTCGACAAGACCCTGCAGAATAAATGAGAACTCAACCATTGAATGTTTGGCAAGTCTAGAGCGTCAGTTCTAGACATTTCCCAATTAAAGCAATCACGTTTAATATGTTGTTTTCATTCAATATTAGTGAATGAAATGCTTTCAAGCCATTGTCAGTCAGTAGTCAACATTACAGCGGCCTGTAAATAATCGATTGTAGGACATGCAAACCACGTTTGACAACATGAGCAGCGATCAACGTCATCGGCACCCCATGACGCTCCATCACCGAGTCATCGATGCTGACCACCCAATCCCCTTTAGTGAAATAGGGGACGCCATTTATCTCCCGAGTTTCCTGACGGTCATATGTTTTATTTTTCAAAACTATTTAACCACAGAAAACATTGTGACGTCATTGTTACTATAACGTCACAATACAATGACGTCTCTTATCCCTCTGTCACAGAAGCCGGTGATCTGTATGTAGTTTTCACACCGAAGACACTGGGCCCCGTTTCACAAAGCTACCGTAGCGATACGACTGTCGTAAGTCATTGTTACAGTATAGGAGGTACGAATGCAAGAGAAAAGTTACAAGATCTTAGGCTTACGAGAGCTTCGTGAAACGGGGCCCTGGTTATTGTTGACAAAGTTTGCCAGTTGGAAGAATGATCTGGGATGATGTATATTAAATAAATAAATATGTGTGTGTGTGTGTGTGTCTGTGAACATTTTTCAGAAAACATTTATATTTATCGACTCGTGTTGGTATATTCGACTTGTTTGTATACAGTTGATATCAGAACACACATATCACAACCCACTAGGGACATATTCTCAATATTCTGTCATTTTCTAATGTATGTGTATGCTGTTACGAAATCAATTAAACATGTTTCATTTTGCTTTTATATATCAGGGGCGGTGGGGTAGCCTAGTGGTTAAAGCGTTCGCTCCTCACGCCGAAGACCCGGCTCAGATTCACACATGGGTACAATGTGTGAAGCCCATTTCTGGTGTCCCTCGCCGTGATATTGCTGGAATATTGCGAAAAGCGGCGTAAAACTAAACAAACTCGCTCACTTTATATGTCAAACTTAGAAAACATCAACACATATATATTCCGAAAATGGAATTGTCTCGTAACCATACAATACCACTATATACCTAAACAGGTATATCTAAATGGGTGACAAGTGTACAGGTCCCTCTCTTCCTTGATCGTATCTCGATGTATAGGGAACGTGACCGACAATTTAACACCGTGATATCCCTTTATGGAACAAGACTTTCTCGTTCAATTAATAGTGCATTCTGACAAGAAGTAGCGTTAGAGAGTGATAATTTATCAGCCCACTAGCCAAATTAATTCAGTAAGTCATTCAATAACCACCACAAAATAGGTATATATTTTATTAAACGCCAGTACCAACTATGGCTAACACCCCGAGGCTCAGATTAAAGATTAGAATGGATAAACGTTTTCTTAAAACCCCAAAACGTTTTCTTTGAGACACACCTGCATTGGTGTCCTTAAGTGAGTTTACATGAAACTTGAAATGATCAGGCAGGTGGGCTAGAGGTTTATAAGGTTGATGGGTGCTGACTTCATTGTAAACAGCAATAAGTATAAACGCATGTGTAGCGGGCCTGAAAGCGTGGTGTGCGTTTCTGGAGCTGAACGTCTGTTGGTGGTGATTATTATTGCACACATGGATGACAACGATAATAACCATTCGTCCTACTTTTCAGATTCATCTTGTCTGGAGAAGTTTTTATCTGTTGTCGGCAAGTATTTCTTCACAAAGGAAATACCTCACGTTTGACTTGCTTCAGGAGCGTGCCCACTGAGGTGATCTCTGGAGTAGGGGAGACAATCCACGCGGATTTTATGACAGCGTTGCGCTGCAAAGGCAACCTTTCTTGTCACGCTCAAATCCCAATATTGATCACTCCCGTGAAGCCAGTTCCTCAGATTTCGTATCCATCTCAAAATATAACAAGGACCAGACCTTCTTCACTTCCTGAAACTGCAGTTTTCTAGACTTGAAAATATTATAGATTTGCATGTGCTGTATTGGATATGTTTGTTTCAGGGTCTGTATGGCAGACTGCATGCCCCGATAAACCATACAAAATAAATAAATCGAGTACTTCACCAAGATTGTCTGGTCCACGAATACACACCTGCTTATTTACAAACCGCCGTCACCTGGCTGGAATATTGCCAACACATCTCCTACAGCATTTATCTGTCTTCATCCGGTTTCAAGCGGAGCTGATGTAAGTGGAAAGGGACAGTTACTGTGACTGAGATTTTCTGTATTTTGTTCACATTGGTGGGAATTAAGGCTTTCCATATGTAGCCAACTTGTGCTGTATACCCGGTTATACTCGGATTTACTGTTGATACAATCCCTGCTGCGGTAGGGTAGCCTAGTGGTTAAAGCGTTCACTCGGGTTCGATTCCCCACATCGATACAGTGTGTGAAGCCCATTTCCGGTGTCCCCTGTCGTGATATTGTTGTTATACTACTAAAAGCCAAATCACTCACTGATGCGATCCCTATTGCTATACTGATACAGTCAGGGAGACTATATAAGGGCCCTGTTGTAGATTATCCCTGATACTGAGTAGCAGTGTAACGAATAATACTGAGCCTAAGTTTACTTAGACTGATTGCAACACCTAACGCCGGCTTACAGCATGATACACGGTGGACCGATGCTTGTATGAACGTGGTTTCAATACCAAATATTTTAAACACACGAAATTCGTCACTGATAAATAAACTACGGTAGATGATACAACATTCATATCTGATAACAATACTGTCAGAGACTACAAGTATGTGTTGGTTAAATTCTATACACCAATGAATTGAAGAAGCGCTGTAATATTTATTTATTGTATAATTTATTGCATTGATTTTCCACAGTGTTAAAAAGTTCGTCTGCACTGTTTTCGACAATGTCTTTCAGATATGTTAACGTACTTTACGTGTATGTAAAATCACATGTATATTTCGTTCGAAAACGAACATATGGGCGCACGAGCAGGTAAAGGGAGGTAAATCCACCCATCTTCAAGGGCGTATGGTTGCCGCTGTGGTTCTTAACTCGACAAATGACCAACGCCCTAAGCCTGTAAGGGAAGTAAGATATATAGGATATATGACTTGTCAGCTAAACTATGACCTATATCGTTTCGATTTGAAAGATTGTTTGTTTATTTGTTTGAACATATTTTATTCAGTATTGAAAGGGATTGGACACAAGTCAGGGGCGGATACAGGATTTTCGTTTGGGGGTGGTATGTATGTGTGTGTGCGTGCGTGCGTGCGTGTGTGTTTGCACCCCAATCCTCGGAACCCTGGGCATAAAACATGTAGTACATTTGATACACTCTTGGGGGGTTGTGCAAACCCCCCCACCCCCCACCCTCTCTGGATCCGCGCATGCAAGTTATTCAACTTATTATTGATGTTGATACATACACTAGTATAGCCAATATCCGCAAACCGCTCAAAGGCGCTATGGCTCTAAGATGGTATTGATATCACATAGAGTTCAAATGCTTCAGCAAAGAGACAAGTCTTTAGATTTGATTTAAAAACAGCAAAATCTGGTTGTGTTCTGAGGTGGG